CAGTGCTTCCTTCTACACCTGACTCACAGAGTGGAATCTGCTTGGCTACGCTTTTCTGTCAAGAGATTTCGGTGGATATTTGTAAGAGCGTGTTTGTGTCAGGGAGGTTATTATGCGGCTGTGTGTATTTTATCAGGGATGCACCGACACTCCTTTCTCACTCCCATCACCGATTCTGATACCTGAAATCGGGATACCAGCCAGTACAGAGTGCTGGATATGATATACAGCACTGTGCCAAATTAGAGACCACTTTTCATTTATTTAATTACAAGTCAAAATGGCCGTTAAGCACAAATTATTCATTTTCAGCATGAGCGAATTTTCTCCTCTCTCTCAAAGATGAAAGCGGTCCCACTTTATATTAAGTGACGCTAATAACTGTGTAGTTACACATGAATAACATATGCAACAACACTAACTATTGATGATTTAGTCAGTGTTACAGATGGATTACAGAAGTACAGCCTATGTAATTACACATTTGTATCAACTTCAGTTTTGCCTCATGTAATTACACAAGTGTATCTTTTATACAGGAACTTTCCTGTAGTGTAGTGTTAAAGTTACACTTTAAAATAAGTGAACAGCTCCTCTGTAATTGTTTTATAGGTACTGTGTAATAATTAAATGGTATTATATACATTGCTTTGAGGGAAATGCAGTACATTTAATTAATGTCACAAAAGTTACGTTTTAATATAAATGAACATCTGCTGTACTGTCACATTACAGAATGGTTTAAAGTTGAACCTGGTTATAATGTTACAGCACTAGCAACATAAATGCTAGCTAAATGTTAGGAAAACTTTCAGATCTAGTGTGAGTAACGTCTTAACGTACGTTATCACACTTTCTTTTACTGCTGGAAAAAAAAAAGACAAAAACTGCTGTTCCAGTCTGATTACCAATGTTATTACATTGTTATTACCCTTGTGTAATTACATGAGAGAGAATAGGCTGTTACAACTATTAAGATACACTTGAGTAATTACATAAGGCAAAACTGAGGTTGATATGCATGTATCATTACATAAGGTGTACTTTAGTCCAACTGTAACAGTGACTAAATCATCAGTAGTTACGTTGTTGTTGCATATGTTGTTCATATGTAACTACACAGTTATTAGCGTCACTTAATATAAAGTGGAACCATGAAAGCTTTAAGTAGCCATGTTCACATGCAGCCTGCTAATCCGTTAAAAATCAGCCAAATAGCTCAATAGGAATATAAATAGATCCATGTATACACCTCAATCAGAATAGACTAGTCTGATTGAGGCTATTCGGAATACAATTTCTATCCAACTGACAAGATGGATAATCCTGTATATAATCCATTGAATAGAACAATAATAGCCATGTAAATACCTGTATCTGACTACATTCCCAATCGGAAAGTTTAAGTATGTTCTGCACGTGTGTGTTCACGTCATTCCGAAAGTTTAGAGAGTTCGACATGGCGGGAAGAGAAACTGGTCTGCAGAGAAGATGAAGTTTAAGATTTGAGCTTTAAAAGACGGCGGTGGGACGAGTGTCCAGCTTATGTGTCTCAGAACACGTTTTCCTCTCACCCTTCTTTAATAAGTACATGTGAAGTACGTTTTCCTGAGTCTGACATCATTTTAAAGTAATTAAAAACACAAGCACTGCTCACTGCTGCTAGTCTCACTCTGACTGGACTCACGATGGACAAGTATTTCATATTCAACCAATTTGTTTTCGGGCTACGAAGACTAACTGTAGACGTCTTTACTAGCACATTATTATCTCAAAATCACCCAAAAATCTGACAATTTGTTTTATTTCCTAGCCTACAAAAAAACCTGTTTCCTCTTCATGCTTGTTTCATCTCCATACACTACGGAGAAGTCTGCCTGCAGTGAGATCATTCATAATCATTAGCTGTATGCAGAGCATTCAGTTCCATTAACAAAAACACACAGTTAGAATCGGTTGTGCAATTTGGTCACATTTTGGAGCGACTGTGTCTAAGAAGCAGCTTGGGTCGTAGATCAGTTGGTGGTGATATTGATTCCATGTAACAAGTCGATGCCTCACTAATTCCAGTGTCCGTACACGGCTGTTTGTGTCGGTGCTGTATGAGCGTGAGATTATAGCATGTATTCATGTGGGGCGTTTGGGTGTGTGAGATTACATAGCGTGTTAGCATGTTGTGAGTGAGTGTGTGTGCGGGGAGTGGGATTTTCTCCATCTCTCATTCGGATCGTCTGGCATGCTGCGTATGAGCTCGGCCTTTGTTGCGGCCTCTAAACGCCTCTTACGCAGACCTCTCTGATTGCTTCCTGCTCGCAAATCCCCCCCGATGAGAAAGAGACCAGACCTCGTGAGGCTTCAGACGATTTACAGGAGGCTCTGCTAACACACACACAGCTGTCCACAAAGCCCTCCATTTCCCATGTATTAACTTCGTTCCAGCTATTGAACACCCACACCCCCCGAGGACCTGTATGGAGTTAGGGCATGTGTCAGGCTTTTCAGTTTGCTGTTGACTGTATGTGTGTAATTGTCAGGTAGCAACGGCGACTGAAAACCAACAGCGCCTTGCAAAAATGATGACTTGGCTTAAGCTCTGCGGTGGTTTTTGATATTTAATTTGCATGAGAAACTGTACGTTCTACACCAACCTATACTGAATGAAAGCTATTTAGCTATTCAGCAAAAAAATCTGAAAATAATTCATAATTTTCCTTTTACTCCAAACAGACAATCAGCTAGGAAATGCTTGGTGCCTGAAGTTTGCTTCACTAGGTTTGTATTAGAGCTATTAGCATTGTACAAACTGCATGCCAAAATCATGATGAGCTGTTATGTAATATTAAACAGACTTGCTTATGTGGTTTCAAACACTGTATGAGATACTGTTATCTATATAAATGGGCAAATATGCACTGCATAGCTAAAAACAGAAGTAGCAGAGCCAGTTTAAGGGAGCCTGGCCACCTGGTATTCCTTTCATTACAACAAAAACATGCCTGGACTGGAAGCAAAGGAGGTAATGAAGTGAAACAACTAAAAATGTTAATTATACAATGGATACTTCCAGTCCTAAAATCTGATTGGCTGAGTTGCACACAAAGCCGTTGTGAAATACACGACATACCACCTATGGCTGCTTCACAACAACTGAATTCTGTTGCTATGTTATGATAAGTTCAAAATAGCATTGTTTATATTATTATACACAAAAAGTCGAATAATAATGGCTGTCCGTTACCGCGACAAAGTCGTATAACAATGGCCGTGTGTTACCACGTCAAAAAGACGTATAATAATGGCCGTGCGTTACCGCGACAAGAGGACATATAATAATGGCCGTGCACTACTGTGATTTTGTCATGGGGATAAACTTTCCTGTGATAAAATCACATTAATGCATGGCCTCTCATGGCTTATTGCTTATTATTATTATTATTAAATATTTTTTCATGCAGTAATTTCCTTTAATTTTGGAACATATATACAAAAATCATTGAAAGCCAGTATTTTTTCCTTTTACAGCAAACAGATTTTGGGAAGTAGAGTGCTAGCATTATTGCTACTGAGTACTGATTGGTTTACAAGCTGCCCAGCCCATTGGTTGAGTAAAGCAGTTTGTGGTCACTGATGTCATGAATGTACATAAAGCACTGTTATAAAGTCTTACAACTGGAGTTGAAAAGCATTCAAATTGCAATTTTGCACAAGTTCTCTATAGGAACACGTTTACTATGGACACTCTCAGGAGCGCCCTCTAGTATATGACCAACCTGGAAGATGTTTCCAAGTTGCAGTTCATAAATTATCTGGCTGAAACCTGAATTTTGTCCTTACTTTTGTCCATTTTACATTACTTCATAGCTCCAGTAAAAAACTGACAAAGCAAATGTCCCACCTGAGCAGAACACTGTAAATTTGATTTCTCGCTAAACTAACTGTCCACCAATCCTAACTATCTTTCGTTCATTCTTAGCCACATTATCCTTTTTGGATGAAGCATTTTTGGGTGAACACTTGCTTTGTTGTGTGTGCACTGGGCACTATGGGCAAGTTATTATGTTAACTGGCCGCTAGTGCACTCAACCAAGTGATGGCTCGAATACAGAGCCTAGCACCACAGAGCTCACCATAAATTTGACAGCCAGATGAATTCTAAAGGGTGAATAATGAAGTCTCCCACTTCTGGAGCTAGATGCATACAGCAGATGGGTAACCACACAGGGAATTAATATGCTCTCTGTGGGCTTCCCAGCCTGGACCTATTACCTGCAAAATGACTCACAACGCAGAGCTGTTTCATTCAATAATCTCTCACATGAGATACCACATGGTGAACTAGCTGGAGAATGGGGACCAATGCAAGGATAATGGCCAATATCAGCAAAATCAATGGACGTCTCTTCTTCATGTATAGTAGACTAATATCATCCAATAGGTTTCACAAGGTTATAGGCCTGAGGTCTATCTGTGCAATACATCCCTTGTGCATATGTGTTCTTCTGACAGAGCTGTAATTGAAGTTCTTGCCTTCAGCGACATTAATTACACAAAATTAATTATATAAAACACACCCATTTGATTGACCAACATCCATTATGATGACCGGAGTGGTAGGTCATGATGAGATATTATACCCAGGGGTTAAATTGGGCGGGAATGATGCTCTAGGTAACTTGAGGCAAAAAAATTTGATCACTCACTTTTTTAAATTGGTTTTACCTGCAGCACAACTGTACTCAAATCTAAACTAACCATTATTTTCTGCTGATATGTCATGGAAAATATAAGAGCCCTTCTTCCTTACTTGTTTAAGAGTTCTACTTCCTTCCAAATTCCAATTTAAAGGCATATCTCGACCAAACAAGCTAACATGGCCAACCATGACTTTGCCTAATGCTAACTGCTGATTGATGACTTTTATTAACCATAAGCAACATCAGCTTTTTTTGACTGAACTATACCCTTGATTATAACCAGGCTATAAGGGAGGTTTTACTCACCATAGACAGGGGTATGATAGCCTGAATATCCTTCTGAACCACTGTCAACTCTGTCACCACCTTGTCCGAGTCTGGGGGTGGGTTTTGGCCCCGATAATCAATGTTCCAATTGATTCTTCTAGTCACTGATTGACTGGTAAAGTTCTCCATCTCAAAGTCCAGCTGCATGACTTCGATGTTGGCAGCCACATCCCTAGAAGGAAAAGGAAAGCAATTATGAGAATGCAAAACGGCGGATGTGATCAATTATATCAGCGTTTAGTGAGAAAATATGCTGGAACTAGCCACCAAATTCAGCTATTAAGCTCATTTAGAAGACTCTAATTAGGGTCAGGTATGTATTTGATCATTAAATGGTTTAATGGGCTGGCCACCAGCACAGACAGATGTTCTGTCATGTATTAGGCATTATATATTGAAACAATCAGCGAATGAACCAATTAAGAGAACTGTGCCCGGCCCATCTGTTATTTTGGAATAGATGAGGCGGGCTAAAAATTAAGCTTTGGAGATGAAATTTGAGACAAAAATGTGGCTCAACTGTTTTATAAGAATTCCACAAAATGGCAAAATGACTAAGATATTGAAATGCAAGACAATGGACAAAGTTTAAACCATCAGTATAAACAGGCCTGTGCCTTAACACAGGTTTTCACACAACTACCACACAATTCATTCAATAAATTGTCTCTTATTTACAGATTGTCTCATATTCTACATTCAGCTTCTACATAGAGTCCTGATTGGGCTACCAGAGGAGGATGTGTAACGTAATTTGTAAGAGGCCAGTTCGAAATGGATTAAATATCTGTGTAATTTTCATAGATAGCGCAAACTATAACATCACCCAGATATATATCAGCCTTACATGACAGGCGCTGTACTCAATAACAACACGGTTCACAGGTGTTAGCAGGTTTTCTTATTACATTCGCATCATGTTTACAAAGGAATACTATTATTGAGGGCCAATTACAGCAACCATTCACTTTGGATCCAAGTTACATATAACACTAGCCCAGGTAAGACTAAGCCAAACTGAAACATAGCCCAGATATATGTCAGCCTCACATAACAGGCACTACACTCAATAACAATAACAACACGGTGCACAGCAAGTGTTCTTATTACATTAGCATCATGTTAACAAAGGAATACTATTACTGGGGGAGCACTGGGTGCAGCCAATTACAGAAAGCATTCACTCTGGATCCAAGTTACATATAATACCTGCACAAGTAAGACTAAACCAGCTTGAATAGGGCTTAATGCCCCAGAGACTATAGTGTGAAACATTATAATCATTTGTATGATACAAAACTTGAGTCTTACATTAAACATCCAGCAAAGTTTGAATGAAAACAAGAAACAAACATGCAGAGACAAACACTGCTCAAAAAGCAGCTTATTTGGACTCCTGAGTGCTGTAACTGTTGGGCCAGTTGGGTTAAGACAGCATAATCAGCCTTGCTCTCTCTAGGTTGGGCCTGTTCAATTCTACATGTATGAACCTGCCTGCTTATTCAGAGAATCAGACAGAAGCTCTGCCACTAGATAACCTGAGTTGATAGGTGCTGATGGAATTATCGCAGTAGGCTACGCTTGCTAGGCTGACTTTTGTTTGCTAGTGAGGTTTCTCAGACTAGGAGAGAGTGATACTGTGGGAAACAGTTTTGACACAAACTGAAGTGGAGACATGTGACAGCCTTGTGATTGGTGAAGATAAAGCTTACACAACTTTTAGCCAAATTTAGGAGCATCCAATTTATATCGACTGGGGAGAAATCCCAGAGAAGTTCATAGGACCTACTGTGTATACGCACATTATATAACCTAATTAGAATGGACTCCTGGATTTAGGTTCCCTGGGGCTTTATGAATCTCTTTAATCCCTACACATTACAAGAAATAAAGAACGATTGCAAGTTCCATGCAAGCACAAAGAGTTCAAAGCGCATAACCAGTGCGAAAACACCGCGGGCAGCCATGCAGCAGTGCCGACTTGACTTGTTTCTTTTTGAAGGCGTCGGCTGCAAAACTCTATAATGGATAGTGACAGCCTAAATGAGCTCTGTCTGGGCATCGCACGCTCACTCATCCAGCATTATTTGCTTTATCTGAGCTGTGCCTGCTGTACACATTAAGGCAGCAGATACTAGAAGACTACTATGAGGGGGTTTGCAGCAGGCCAGAACTGATTTCCCCTCACACTGGGGCAGGGATTCACATTTGAAGAAGGGATATTAGTTTATGAACAGGTTGACAGAAGGACTGTGGCAGCGGAGGCAATGTTGTAGATTCCACAAGTGGGTTAGAGAGAATGGCTTTCATCAATAACGGTGTCAATCAAGGCCAGAGCCACCATAACTTACAGCTGGCAGACTTATAATAGTCAATATATTATCCAGGTGCGCTATGCTACTGTAACAAAACCTTCAGGCAGATCTATTCTTTGCTCTGTACAGCTCCATCTGTTTAAGACAGCATTCAAAACCAAGGAATAAAAACCATACATTTCTAAGAAGTAATACATTGAAAGGGATGGAACATCTGCATAAAAATGCAATACTGAAAAAAGGACAGTACTAGGCCAACTCTGAAAGAGTGTAATAGATGGGATATTAAAGCGTTCACATAATGGAAAACTGCACTTCATGAAATAAGAATTCATGCAGTGTCTGAATCCTGAAGTTTCAGAAAGCCATTAACTTCATGGTCCATAAAGTTCATGCAGGGAAAATAAGCTCATTTTGAAATAATTGCTTATATGATGTCAAGAGAACCAACACATTTACATACATCCGCATTTGATGCCTACAGTAGTTTAGCTCCGCCCATTCATGTTGAAGTTCTAAAGAGTGTTTCAAGCCCCACCTGCTTTCTGAAAGAGGCAGAGGAGGCAGCAGCCAATCAGAGCAGATGTAATTTACATATATAAGTCTTCAAGGCCCAGAAACAAAAACAGTCTGTGTAATTCTAAAGGATAGGAAGAGGTTAAAATGCTCATGCTAAAGCAAATTCTGACTGAATTTTGGAACATTAAACAACACAAATGCTGTCATATAAATACTGAACTCTTTAATGACAACACAGCTACACAAAATCATGAGTAATCTGTCCCTGGCTTCAGAAGTATGTTATATTGTCTGTATTTTATGCCTTTTTCAAGCTTTTAAACTCAGCAGGAAAATAAAAAAATAAACTAAAATGAAGTTCAAACATTCCAAAATACTTTCTAGAGAAAGATTTTTTAAGACGTTGCGAACGCATGGAAAAATGCACTTAATATGCATAATCATCACACAAATCTCCAACTAATCACTACCGATTCGTCAAGAAGGCAAACTTCAATTGATGTGAGTATCGTTACAGCCCTAATGCTGTAAAATAAGGCATAAAGCAGTGAGAAAGTATGACTGTAATAGAACAGGATGCTTTAAATGCACTGTGAGGAGGAAAAGAAATCATCTTTAGCATAGCACGCTAATGATTTCAACCAAACAGAGAACATTGAGCTCAAACTTTCTGTTTAATCGTTTAAATGTTCTGCTAAGTGAGTGGTAAGCTTGGACCATTTAGCAGCCCCACTTTTACAGACGCTACACACTCAGGGTTTTAAGTTTGTAGGATGAATATGCATCTGTATATGCTAGCAGGAGCTAGCGCTCTCACTGTAGACGTTCAGAGTGCTAATCACTGTGTTATACAGCAGCGCTTACATAATTTATAGTTTACATCTTCATTCCTCTTCCCACTGTGAGCTTCACACATCGAGCACAGGGAAGCTTCATTCTGCCGGATAGACAGTTACACACTGGTACACAGGCTACATACTGATGAAGCGTATACCAGCATTCAAGGGAACCAGTTTTTTCAAAAAATATAGCTAATTTTGTTGAAGATACATTTAAAAACTGATGATAATATTCTAGTTATGGGCAACTTCACAGCTTTTGGATCACTTGTAGGAAGGTATGAAGCGGCTGAATAAATAAATAAGTAAATAAAAAGCCCTTTAGCCATTTAGCTCTTAACTCTTAACACCTAAAGCTTTTTTATTATAATTTTTTTTAAACACTGAATCTAACAAAACATGTATTTAACCATTTAATAAAGCCATCTCAGGAACAATATCCTTTTTTTTTTTATAAGGTTTCTTTGCTAACAGTGGCTTAAATGAGTATCGGGATTGACTTGTTAGAACAGAATTAGCAAATACACAACATGTAGTTTACTAGCATCCATGCTAATGACATTAAGACTTTGAGGACATTCTTTTGGTTTATTAAAATGTATTTTTTTATTTACTTCTAATTCAATTAATTCTAATTCTAATTCATTAATAATTTACCTTTCAGTCAATAACTTGGGCAACAAGTTCGTACATTCAACCTTATCAGTCAGTATCACAATATTATTGGAAATAATGAAAAAAAGAGAACTTTTTCTATGTGATACTCCATATACATCTTAGAGATGGACGCAACATCTAACAGAGCTGAGTGAATGTTGCGGGACACTAAAATGGACGTTTCGTAACCTGTAATGGATGAATCATGAAAAAGGATGTTTTAAGCATGAGATGCTAAATGGAACATTAATGCAAAGTATTTTAAAGACTGTATTTCAAGGTAAAGTGAAGTTATAAAAGCGCTAAGACTAGAAAAAAATGCTGAAGCTGGATTTTAATTAATGCTTTAAGATATTTATTAAAACATGAACACATTTTCTTACTGGTGTGAAGGACACTTTGCCCCTTTATATACGTACATGTAACATCAGTGGGTCACAAATGGCTCCCCGATTGTGAAATCACCCTGTAGATGATTCCAACACGACTGAGAATATGTACAACATCAAGAATGAAAAAGAAAAAAAAAACACTGTAAACTGTATATATTATAATGTAAAAGCTTCTTATGGTGCTCAAAATACTTTAAATATTAAAAAACACATCTAAACTCACCTTTTAGCTGTTAGGTTATAATATACTCTATTACTGTACGATGATTAATCAAATGGTATGTCTGATTTACCAAATTTAATTAATGAAATGTGCTCTAGCATGTGTGAAAAAGGCCAGTTTACATCTAGACGTTTTGTCCACCACTGCAGTCTTTAGTAATTTGCTTGCTGGGATCGATGCAGCCGGTCAAACTGGCGGCCTTGTTCAGGTGTGTTTGCTAACTTCAA